TTCAGGTTATTTAACCAATAACAACTTGGTGACTTATCTAAAGAAAAATGAAGCCCAAAAAAACCCTAGAAGCAGGTACAGGTGGCTCACACCTGAAATCCTCACTACTCCAGAAGCTGAGATCTGCAGATTGTGTTTCAAAGCCAACCCTTCAGGAAAGCCCATAAGACTCTTACCTCCTACTAACTGCTAAAATTCTGGAAGTGTATTTGTAGCTCAAATGGTGGAGCATTAACCTTGAGCAAAAAAAAGCTCAGGGATAGTGCCAAAGTCCTGAGTTCAAGCCCCAGGCCTGGCACCAAAAAACAAAACAAAAAACCAACAACAACACTAGGAAAACATAGATCACCCAAAAGGAATTGTCTTAGAAGTCAAACTGGTTTTCTGCAGTGGTAGGGATTAAACCCAGGGCCTCACACTCTACCACTGAACTACAGAAGGGAAGCTTTTAATAAAATGTATCTTCCTCTAGCTGAGGTATTTTTATTGAAATTATATATTCCAGTAGGGCATGGTGGTATGCTTCTGTCCTCTCAGAATTTAGGAGGCTGAGACAGAGGATCATGAGTCTAAGGCCAGCTTTGGCTACAAAGCAAGGCCCCATCTCAAAAAAAAAAAACAAAAAAACAAAATAAAACTATGTGTGAATATACACATACATTCCATCACTCACACTTGCCCACATAAAAGCACATTGGATTCCTGTTCCCATAACACTTATAAACTTTCAAAATGAATCAGTCACATATCTAATCCTTTATCAGTATTTCTATTTTATCAGAACCAGCATCCACATTAAACCAATCGTTGATTGTAAGAACTTTGAGGGGCTGGGAAGGTGGCTCAGTGGTAGAGCGCTTGCCTTGCATGCCTGAGGCCCTGGGTTCGATTCCTCAGCACCACATAAGCAAAAAGAAAAAAGCCAGAAGTGGCGCTGTGGTTCAAGTGGTAGAGCACTAGCCTTGAGCTGAAGAGCTGAGGGTTCAGAGTTCAGGCCCCACGACTGGACCCCCCCCCACAAAAAAAGGAGAACTTTGATGTATATGACCAAGTAAGAAAAAAAAAAGCACACGGTCATGCCATTGTATAAGCCAGGGTCTTGCAAAGTAGATACTGTAGTTTTTGTTTGCTTGGTGGCTTACTTTTAATTCTGAGGTTCTTAAAAATACATGTAAGTTTTAAGCATATCCCCATCTCTGCACAGCACTCCAGCCAGTGAAAACACTTGAAAATGCTCCTTGTTGTAGGAAAGTTGCCTGCCAGGCTTAGCCATTTTCCTCTCTGACAGTGGAGCACCTGCCCCTGAGTGCCCCGCACAGGGGAGGAGGTCAGCTGATTGCCCACAGATCAGAACAACCCGGAAGCCCAAATGGCTGACACCACCTGCCTCTCAGCGATTTGCCAAAATCTCCCCCGAAAGAAAGCAGAGCCAGTGTGCTGAGGAAGACTGAGCACACGCGTTTCCGGGCCTCATTCCCCAAAGTCCCTAATTGCATCAAGCCTTCAGTACCAGCCTTCAGTACCAGCCTGAGCCACTGTGGAAGCTTACCTGAACAAACTAGAATCAGCTCACGGTGTCAAAAGGAAAACAGGATTTCACACCACCCGAGGAATGATGATAGGTGGGGGAAGGGAAAAGAGGAAAGAAAAGTGTTCAACTAATCACACACATAGGTACATAAATTACTTAGCAGCCAGGGAAGAGCTGCTGGCTCTCCAGGAGGCTGAGATGTGAAGATCATGGTTCTAATGTAGCTGGAGCAGACTCATACTGCCAATTAACCAGCAAAAAGCAGGAGTGGGGGTGTGGTTCAAGTGGTAGAGTGTTAGCCTGGAGTGAAAAGCTAAGGGACAGCTCCTATTCACAAACATGATGAGCAGCGGAAAAACCAGGAAAAAACAAAACAACAACAACAACAAAAACCCCAAGAAGTAGCAAACTAAGTGTTAAAGAACTTACGAGTAGGGAAAAAAAAGACTTGGTCCAGCTGGGCACTGGTGACTCAGGCCTGTAATCCTGGCTACTCAATCTGAGGATTGCTGTTCAAAGCCAGTCTGGGCAGGAAGTGCATGAGACTCTTATCTCCAATAAACCACCAGAAAACCAGAAGTGGCGCTGTGGCTCAAAGTAGTGAGTGTTAGGTTTGAACAAAAAAGCTGAGGAACAGCACCCAAGCTCTGAGTTCAAGCCCCATGACTGACCAAAAAAAAAAAAAGAGATAGAATGTTGGTGAATATTGTATTTAAATTAATACAAAGTATCAGTAGAAATTGTGGCTGGAATAGAGTGGACTTATTTTAAGTCTAGACAAAAGAAAAAAGAAAAAAAAGCAGCAAAATGTAAGGAAGTAAAGGAGGAAAGGGAAAAACAATGAGAGTTAATGTCATCTTGCAAAACCCTGATCAATAAATACGTCTTACATGTTAAAAGATAGCCAGATACCAATGGCTTAGGCTTATAATCCTAGCTACTCAAGAGACTTAGAAGTGAGGATCAAAGTTCTAAATCAGCCTGGTCAGTAAAGTCTATGAGACTCTTCTGTCCAATTAACCACCAAAAAACTGGAAGTGGAGCTGTGGCTCCAGTGGTAAAGCACTACCCTTGAATGAAAGAAGCTCAGAGACAGTATCCAGGCCCTGAGTTCAAGCCCCAGGCCTGGCACCAAAGAGACAGATGTGGGGGGGGGGGAGGGAGGACGGGAGGGCGAAGGCTTGAGCTGGGGACAATTTGTAGCCTGGTACTTGCATATGTGTATGACTGGCTGACGCCCCTGCCTTCATGGTAAGGAGCTTGGGCAGTCAGTGAGCTAAGAGCAGACCGACTGCATAACATGGGCCCACAAAGGCAAATAAAAATGGAGGGCCAACTCTTTTTTAAAAGTCCCATAAAATAAGCCAGGTGCTAGTGGCTCACACCTGTAATCCTAGCTACTCAGGAGGCTGAGATCTGAGTGATCGTGGTTCAAAGCCAGCCTGGGCAGGGAAGTCCGTGAGACTCTTATCTCTAATGAGCCAACAGAAAACTTGAAGTGGCGCTGTGGCTCAAGTGGTAGAGCACTAGCCTTGAGCTGAAAAGCTGAGGGACAGTGCCCAGGCCCAGAGTTCAAGCCCCACAACTGACAAAAAAAAAAAAGTTCTATAAAATACTAAAATGAAGAATCTTCTTCAGTTTTTTCTCAAATAATCATATTTTAAAATGTACTATTTAATGCCATTCTAAAAAAAATTAGCATGAATCTTCTTCTTTGTATTGTGTGTCAAGCCAGATTTGAAAATTAATACAAGGACTAGAAGTGTGACTCGAGAGTAGAGCACCAGTTTTGAGTGAAAAAAAAAGTGAGACTACAAGATCCTGAGTTTAAGCACCAGAACCAGCATTAAATATATAATCTATGTATATTCAAATATATATAGTTGAGGCTGGGAAGATGGCTTAGTGGTAGAGCGCTTGCCTTGCATGCATGAGGCCGTAGGTTCAATTCCTCAGCACCACATAAGCAGAAAAAGCTGGAAGTGGCATTGTGGCTCAAGTGGTAGAACGCTAGCCTTGAGCTGAAGAGCTGAGGGACAGTGCCCAGGCCCAGAATTCAGTCCCCATGACCAACAAAAAAAAGACAAAACAAATCAAATATATATAGTTTATATATATATTTATAGCAAATATTTACATTATATAATATGTATTTATACATATAATATATGCTATACTTTATATGTTATTATATAAGATATAAATAGATGCAATATATTATATTTGTAATATTTATAATGTATAATATATTTAAGCATATCAGATATTTATATTTAGTGTATATATGTAATGCCAATACAAGAGTACTTATTTTGGATATAGAATTACTGCATTACACTATTAAGCGCATCCAGATTCAGGATGGTATAAACCACAAAATCATCAATAAGGGTAAAATAAAAATAAAGACAGTGACCTCTTCCCTCTTTGGGCCAAATAGATTCTCAAAACGGGAAAACAAGGTTCGGTTAGAAGCCATGAGCGCTCCCCCGCCCTCCCCTGGTTAAGCAGGACTGAGACGTTACTAACAAGAAGAGGAAGAACCAGAAATGGCCGGAAGTAGATAAGCACCAGACTTGGGGGGAAGTTCAGCAGTTGGGTGCTGAGACAAAGCAGGCTGGTCATCGTGTTTTATAAATCTCAGAACGTGCAACTGGAGAGGCAAACGCTGGTCCTTCTAGTATTTCTCACACCGTTGCAAGTTACTGTTAGATTCCAGAAAATGACTGCCTCTGGTGCATTAAGTCACTGGCTTGCTGCATGGCTTGCTGCTTGAGCCTGTCTGAAAAAATTTTGGACTTCTCTTTGGCCAGTAGTTATTTTGATCTTTTTCTGTTGAAGGTTATGATGAAGTAAGAGTTCCTGGGAGTATAGAACGCTCCTCTGCCAGTGACTCCCATTCAGTCCATAATCTATTCATCTCATCTAAAGGGTTTAAATCTCTACTCTGGCTGGGCATCAGTGGCTCACGCCTGTAATCCTAGCTGCTCAAGAGGTGAGATCTAAGGATCACAATCAAACCTGGACAAGAAAGTCCAAGAGACTCTTATCTCCAACTAACCACCAAAAGTTCAAGGCTCAGAACCAACACACACACACACACACACACACACACACACACACACACAGATCACAATCAAACCTGGACAAGAAAGTCCAAGAGACTCTTATCTCCAACTAACCTCCAAAAGTTCAAGGCTCAGAATCAACACACACACACACACACACACTTTAACTGACAGTTCCCTGTTCAAAAGTTAAATTTACAATTTCCCTCAGGAGAAGCTGAGAGAGTCAGCTGGAGTAAAAAGACAGATGGACCAGCTCTTAGGAGGACAGAGGGCTAGCACCAGGAATTTGGCTAACCCGTGCTGGCTTTGTGTGATCTTGTCTTTGCCCTGTTTTTAATTTTTACAAATTAATCATCAAGTCCAAATGTTAGTCATCTGGTATGATTTTCTTTCAGATGAAAAAATAAAGGATTTAAAAACCAGTAAAGATGCTTTTGAACTACAGGGCCCCAGCCATCCATTCACTTCTTTGGTGTCTTACAGGTAAGTGCTACTTTTTATCTTACTCTGTGGTAGCAAGCTTGTGTTGACATCACCATACAGAGTTCTGTGGTGGAGCAGCAAACTGCCTTCCTAACTGCAGGCCAGATCAGCCTGCTTCCTGTCAACTGCTCCTTGAAAAGCTGACTGCTGCTAATTTTAGGAAAACATGGATATATATAAGAATAGCAGAAGGTGCAGTGATATTGGGGGGTATCCTTATGTATCATTTAGTGGTCCTTACTGGGAGCTGGTGCCTCACACTTGTAATCCTAGCTCATTAGGAGGCTGAGATCTGAAGATCACAGTTTGAAGCTAGTTCAGGCAGAAAACTCTGTGAGACTTCTCCAGCTAACCACTAAAAAGCTGGAAGTGGAGCTGTGGCACAAGGAGTTAAGTTCTAGCTTTAAGCAGAAAAAGCTAAAGGACAGCACCCAAGCCCTAAGTTCAAGCCCTAGTATTGGCACCAAAAAAAAAAAAAAAAGCGATTTCTCATAATTCCCTCAGTCAAACCCAGGGTAGAATTTATCACTAGTCTTCAATAGCTGGAAAGGGAGCCAACCTTGTAACTCTTACCCTGTAGTTTATGCATTCTATTTACTATCCATCTTTTCTCTTACTCTCTCTTTCTCTCTCTCTAGTTCTAGTCTTGTTACCTTGTTGCTTCTATTTCAGAAGCGATGTCTTCTGTCACACAGTTTATCAGCAGGGTATCCAGGAATGGGACCAGGTCTGGCAGCAGCATGGATGATCTCCATGGATACCATGTATCTAAAAAATTCCAGGAACCCCGCTACCCTTACAGTAATTGTTCTATCCAGGAAGCAAATGCCCCTACACCTCCACCCCCCCATTGAGACTCACCAGTTTCAATCACAAACATCCTTTTTCCTCTACCGCCCTTAGTAAACACCCTTACCTTTAAGATGAATTAATTAACAATCTGCTTATTCATAATCCTGGAGTTCTCTTTTCAGGTAAACCCTGGTAGTATCATGTACCAATGATTATATTTTGGATTCATTCAAGATACAACTCTTAAACTAGGTACTGGTGGTATGAATGTCAGCTAAGAACCAGTTGCTTAAAATTTTGGTTAGCACAAGACAGTCTTAATCCAGTCATATTTAATACCTGTGAGTAAAAGAATATTGAACTTACTGAGACTGGTTTGGGAAGAGTGAAGTAATGAAGGGGATGATTTTTTTTTATTTTATTTTCCTGTAAAGATGCTGTACAGAGAGGTAACAGTTACTTCAGTAAGGTAATGAGTACATTTCTTGTCCAGCATTGTTACCCCCTCCTTTGTTTTTCTCCCATTATCCCTTCCCTTCTCTACCTCCCCCACTCCACCCGCCCCCAAAAGTTGTAAGGTTCATTTCCAACATAGTGTCTTGTGAGTATCATTGTTGCAGTGGGTCATTCTGTGTCCTTATTTCAGCATTGGATGATTCTTTTTTTCTTTTTGGGGTCCGGTCGTGGGGCCTGAACTCTGGGCCTGGGCACTGTCCCTCAGCTCTTCACCTCAAGGCTAGTGCTCTACCTCTTGAGCCACAGCACCACTTCCAGCTTTTGTTCTTTTTGTTTATGTGGTGCTGAGGAATCGAACCCAGGGCCTCATGCATGCAAGGCAAGCACTCTACCACTGAGCCACCTTCCCAGCCCTGGATGATTCTTATTGATGAACATTGTATGCCTGCATTGATGTGTCAAAATTTCTTCATTAGAAATGTTAAAAACTGACAAGTAAGAAAACAGTATTAGAAGGGAAGCATATATAGAAACATTAAAATAAAGTAAGATAAAAATAAATTTAGAGTATTAATTGTAAGCCAAGCCCAGAGAATACAGTACCACTCCACTAACCTATTTTTCTTCCTCTTAGTGTACATGAGCCTAATGTTTGGTGCTTCTCATTCTCTCAATGGTAAGAGATGTTCTTGGTTTGAGTAAATTTTTAGAAAGGTCAAAATGTTTGGGTGACCATTCCAACATAATAAAAAATGCAAAATCTAATTTCTGATCCCAAACTTGTTAGTTTTACTAGAATCTTTTGTCTATAAAAGGAACTAAAATTAACTAACTCTAGTTTTCATATGTGCCTTACAAAAGAATTATAAGAAATGAACACTAGAGATCATTTTAAGACCTCTTAAAAGAATAGTCCAACTCTTACTATTCTTACTAGTGGAAAAATGAAGCCAGCAGCTCATGCCTGTAATCCTACCTCTTCAGGAGGCTGAGATCTGAGGATCATGGTTCAAAGCCAGCCTGAGCAAGAAAGTCGAAAGACTGGAAGTAGAGCTCTGGCTCAAATGGTAGAGCACTAGTCTTGAGCAAAAACCCCCAGAGAGACAGTGCCCATACACTAAGAACAAACATGCCCATTGCATACTAAGTCCTGAGCTGGACACTGGTGGTTCACACCTGTAATCCTAGCTACAGAGAAAACTGAGATCTAAGGATTGTGGTTCAAGGCCAGCCTGAACAGAAAAGTCCATGAGACTCTTATATAAATTTATCAGCAAAAAGTCAGAAGTGGAGGTGTGGCTTAATTGATAGAGCACCAGGCATTGAGTTCAAGCCCCATACTGGCAGCATACACACACACACACACATACACACACACACACACAATTAATAGTATAAGGCAGGATTTGACAAGTGGAGTGTTAGAATCTCATTTGCCACCCATTTCCCAGCATACAACACTATATAAGTCAACTGGATTTCACAGCTGGAAAATGGGACTCTTAAGTACCTAGCCCAACACTACGTAAGCTAAATGCCTAGAAAGGGCTAGTCCTTACACACATTATTCAACTCTCCTTTCTGTGACCAGGGAAATAAGTGCAGAGGGGGGTTCAGAGGGAGCTGGGAGCAGAGCTAAGAAAATGGAGGGGTGGGGAGAAAAACAAGAAGTACACTGCAGAGCCCAGAATGAACTGGAGTTAGAAAGACTCAGTAATTGGGGAAACGCTTTTATTCATGTGTGTGTGCGCATGTGTGTGCGCACGCATGTGTGTGTGCTGGGACTAGGCCTTGAACTCAAAACCTCAAGCTCTCCCTTAGGTTTTCCCACACGGCTGGCACTCTACCATTTGAGCCACACCTCCATTTCTAGCTTTTGGTGGTTAATTGGAGATAAGCATCTCATGAAATTTCCTGCTCAGGCTGGCTTCCAACCTAGATCCTCAGATCTCAGCCTCCTGAGTAGCTAGGGTTACAGGCATGCTACCAAGGGCTCATACTCTGTTTATGGAGTATGAACTTCCTGTTTTCAGCACTCCCCTCACTGTCAGGAGTTTGTTTGTTAATTAAGTATTAGTTCATTTCCTATGTCCTATGTGAAGAACTCAGGACTCTCCAGAGGGCTTGTGTCCTCACATCCCAAGGGAAAGATAGAACAATGGCCCACATGCAGCCCTTTGTCCCAAATGTCAGCCCCATTTTAAAATTTCTTCCTGTTTCTCTTTAGGTTTTTCAGAGGAATCTTGCATTTTGAAAATGACAGTACAAAATTTTCGGCTCATTTTATCATGGGAATTAAAAAACACTTCCGTCGTACCAACTCACTATACATTACAATACACAATCATGAGGTTGGTTGATATTTCATTTTTCTCTTGCTAAAGTAGTATCTTTCCATTACATACTCTCTCTCTTAGTCTCTCTTTTTTTCATCTGCCTCACACCTGTTCCTTCCTGTCCAGTTTTTATATAGCCCCTTAAAAGACCAAAGGCAAAACACCTACCTCTGTGTGTGTATGTGTGTGTGTGTGTGTGTGTGTGTGTGTGTGTGCGCACGTGCGCACGCACTGCAAGTGTACCAGAACTGGAGCTCGAACTCAAGACCAAGGCCTCATGATCTGGCTTGGCCTTTTTTCTTTATTATTATTTTCTTTACAAAGCTAACACTCTACCACTTATACCACACCCCAGATCTAGCTTTTTGCTGGCTAATTTGAGCTAAGGCTTCTTTCTGCTCAGGCTGGCTTCGAACCGCAATCCTTACACCTCAGTCTCCTGAATAGTTAGGATTTACAGGTGTGAGCCACCAGTGCCTGGCTTCCATCCACATTTAATTTTCCTAGTGATGTCTCAAATTCAGACAAGATGAATGTTTAAAAGTCCTCTGATTTTCAGAGGCACAGAGGTCTGCTTACCATATTGATGGCTTATGTTCACTTTTCATTATTCATAGAAGCAAATGGGAGACCATAAAACTGTCCAGCAAGCCGGGCTCCAAAGTCTGGTTAGTCACTCACCGGCTTTGCCATGTCCCAGAACACAGCCTCTCTTGGTGCTTCTTGCTCTGCAGGGTTGGCAGGAGTTAGAATGGATGGCGTCTTTTTGGCCCTCTTCTTCCCACCTCCAGTAGTCACTCTCGCAAGTCATTCTTTGGACTCAGTGGACCCTGAAATGTCCTTCTGTTGGTTATGTACTTGCCTGGTTTATTTGCCTGGCACAGGAAGGGCCTTTTGTGAGTTTCTCTTCAGCCTCTTTGCATTGGTTGATCACCTATTTTATCTACCTACCTTTCTAAAGTTAGTAGATCTCAACTAGCACAGTCCTGACTTAGAACCATGTGGCCCGCTGCCAAAGAGAAAGAAGAGACCTCAGAGGTAACAGTCATGGATGTCCGAGAGCGGGAGGGAGATCTGGGGCCTCTTACTGGGGATGCCTACAGTTTGTTCATCCAGCAAGTATTTACCAAGCCCCTACTGCATCTCTGATGCAGCCAGGAAACAAAGTCCCTGAGCTCTGGGAGGGATTATTCTGAAAATGGATGGAGATATCATGAATCAAGTAAAGGTATAATGTGGCAGATGGAGGGAAGCACTATACAATATAAAGATGGGTTAGGAGGGAGAGAGAGCATGCTCCATTTTAAAATAAGGTTTTTTAGCTTGGCACTGGTGGCTCATGCCTGTAATCCTAGCTACTTAAGAATCAGGATCTGAGGATCACGCTTTTGAAGACTGACAGGAAAATCCCTGAGACTTTTACCTCTGATGATCCAGCAAAGAACCTGGAGGTGGTGAGAGGCAAGCCAGGAGTGGGTTCTTGTTCTCAGTATGAACAAATATGGAATAAGGCCAGGAACAGCGGAAACCTTGAGCAGAAAAATACATCCAGAAGAACAAATGGGGAGCAGGAGCCAGTTTTCCATCTTAGCTCTGGTGTGGGGGTTGTCTCCTTTTAGCCCCTCCTCAGGAATGGAGAGCTAGGGAAAGGGAGAGAGGATTGTTTTCTAGGAAGGTCAGGAGAGGTCCAGCAGGTTCCAGGAAGCCTAAAGCTTTCAAGTGTGGTGGATGATTGGGCCTCTGGGGGAGGGAGCTGCACATAAAGTTGGGAAGGTCACTTCGGCTTTTTTTGTAGCCATCAGTGGAACTTGTGGCTCAAGTGGTAGAGCTTCAGCCTTGAGCAAGAAAGCTAAGGGACAGCGCTAAGGCCCTGAGTTCAAGCCTCATTATTGGCATAATAAAGATAAAGTAAGCCGGGCGCTGGTGGCTCACGCCTGTAATCCTAGCTACTCAGGAGGCTGAGATCTGAGGATCGCGGTTCAAAGCCAGCCCGGGCAGGAGAGACC